TTTTTTTTTTTTTTTTTTTTTTTAAATAGATCTTTATTGATTTTGGAGAGAAGAAGGAAGAGGGAGAGAGAGAGAGAAACATCAATGATGAGAGAGTCATTGATTGGCCGCTTCCTGCACGCCCCAGACTGGGGATCCAGCCCTCGACCGGGCATGTGCCCTGACCGGGAATCAAACTGAGATCTCCTGGATCCTAGGTCGATGCTCAACCACTGAGCCACACCCAGCCAGGCTCGCCCACCTTTTTTGTGTTTTCAGTTTAAATATAAGTCTCAAGTAGGTTAGATTCTGTGCTATAAAAAAAACTTTATTTAAATCTAAGGTTGCCTTTAACAATGACCTAAGTTTAAACTCTAGGTCCTGAAATTGTCATTGCAAGTGCCCTCCTTCATTAAGATCAACTTACATGGATCCTTGAGATCAAGCCCTGTCTTCCATTAGTGGTCCTCTGGCCAGTGTCGCTCCTTGGATAGCTATTTTTGCCTATGGTGAAAGGTGTGTTTGGGCTGGCGTCTGCCCAGTTCTCATCCTTCTGCTTTGTTTATGGCAAAAGGCAGAAAACAGTTCCAACTTCTAAACAGAAACTGTTTCTTAGAATTCCATCCTATAAAACACAATGCCATAGTCTTGGAAGAAACATATCCCAAATTTTCTTCTGTCCCAAAGTACCTCTGTAACATAATTGATTTCAGTGATTCAGCATTCAACAGGTATTTACTGTGCACCTAGTGATCCAAAGTGCTGGACATACAGTGATGAATAAGTGTGACCCTGTTCCTGTCAGTATACATTAAAGTTTAACTGAGAAATTTAAGTACTACCTTTAAGACCTTCCATGATTAAACCTTCACATGATGTCCAGTTTTATATGGCCTGGGGTCTTACTGAAAGTTTCACAGAATCTCTATTTCCTATTTTCATATAGATCATACAGAAGACTTTTGTTCATCTTAAATCTGAGCCACTATTTAATTTGTCATCCTATCCTTTGCTTAATTAAAGCCATGTTCTAACTATGACTGTCACTATCACTATCACTTTTTTATTTCTATTCTTTCTCCTCTTGTTACTAAGAAAATTAGCTCTTTTTCTCAGCTTTTTTTTTTAAAGAAACATTTTTATGACTTCTTAAGATGACTGTTATCATGTATATGAGACTAAATGTAACTGCATCCATAAAGCTGCATCCAGATATAGATAATGGAGGTTGACTAGGTTCACTCATTAGCTAAGTGTCTCACTCCTTTCTGGCCTTAGAGAAAATACAAAGCATAGTGATGCCTCACAAAAAGGAAGTTACAGTTATGAACTCTTGGGGTTTATCTCTGTTGATTGAAATGAGGAGTGCTAATCCTGAAGACACCGAGGGCCCGTGGTATTTCTACCTGTTAGGTCTTCAGCATGCAATGAGTGCAATATCCCCACATGTGATGACTTTACACATCTTAAGAGTCAACTGACAGTCACAGGTCTAAGGTGAGGAAATATAGAACCACTTTCTTAATCCTACAACTAACAGCTTTTTGCTGATCTGCCTTGAGGATTTCTCATTCCCTAGAGAGTACCATCTTGAAGGGAAGGCCCACAGCAGGACTTTTGGCTACCACCTCCATCATTAGCTCAACTCTTTCCCTGTCCCAGCCTGTAGAGACAGACACTGCCAGGCCTGCATGGCTCAGCAATTGAGCTTCGCCCTATAATCCAGGAGATCGCTGTTCGATTCCCTGTCAGGGCACATGCCCTGGTTGTGGCCTCAATCCCCAGTGGGGGTGTGCAGGAGGCAGCCAATCAATGACTCTCTCATCACTGGTGTTTCCGTCTCTCCTCTTCTCCCTTCCTCTCTCTGAAATCAATAAAGACATATTTAAAACCAAAAACAAAGAAGAATGTGAACTAAAGATGATTAAGGCAGTTAATACCAGAAACTATATAGGTTGACAATTAAAAACACACACACCCATAAAAAACCCTGATAATACTCTACACAATTTAAAGGGAAAATAAACCAAGAGCGAAAATTGTTAAAACAGTAAAAAGGCTGCCCTGACTGGTTTTGCTCAGTGTTAGAACGTTGGCCTGCCGACTGAAGGGTCCCGGCTTTGATTCCAGCCAAGGGCATGTACCTCGGTTGCAGGCTTGATCCCCCGCCCCAGTTGGGGTGCATGCAAGAGACAACCAATCAATGTGTCTCTCTCACATCGATGTTTCTCTTTCTCTCTCTTCCACTCTCTCTGAAAAGCAGTGGAAAAAATACCCTGTGGGTAAGGATTAAAAACAAACAAACAGTAAAAAGGCTAAATTGAAGTAAAATAAAATGTGAAAGCTAAGAAATAAGAAAGTAAGGCATGCTAAGAACTGTTGGGATATATAACAAAATAAAGAAAACATGATTAAAATAAGAGAATAAAAACATAATAAATAAAACAAGATAAGAAGGACCTGATCCAGGAGCTCCATAAAATATGTATAAGTATGGCTAAGAGGGTGTGAAAATAGACAAGGCATGTTTCTGCATAGGTAAATAATAAAACAGTAAGGAAACTGAGGCAGGAGGGATCCCATGGAGACCAGAGTATAGAGCATGGTAGAGCAGGAGAAAATTAAGAGGTAAGAAGGAATCCCATATTTTTGTGTTGTTTTCTAAAAACCATGATCTTACTAGCTTTTTCTCTACAAAATATCCCCTTTTGGAATCTGTCAGCTTGAGGTCAATGTTATTTTATAGTGAGTTTATCTAGAGTTTTCCTTTATCGTTTGTGGTGAACATCGATTTCCTGGGCCACCTAGTCAGTAGTCCTGAGCTCAGCACCTCCCATGTCCATGTGTGCTGCCCATATGCAGACAAGGCAGGCTCTGTATCTCCCTTTTCAGGAGATAAAACTGCATATCATCAGTAAAATGTAGCATCAGTAAAAGCCATTATATCCATGGCTATAACAAGCTTTAACAAATCCTGTAAGAGTATTTGATTATTACATTAATAGGATGCAAACTCAAGCCTTAAAAATTCCTTCTTGTGGTACCCTCCTCTTCATTAAGGATGTTTGCAAATTACCTTTTTAAAGG